GGGGGGACTGGGGGGCAGTGCAGGGAGGGAGCGAGGAGCAGAGCACTTTGAGCGCAAGTCCCCACGGCAGAGGGCAGTGGACAGAGAACTCCTGTGCTTCTTTTTCTTTTCTTTCTTTGTTTTTTCCTCACTCGAGGACATTTTTTTCCATTGACTTTTAGAGAGAGTGTAAGGAAGGGAGGAGGGGCAGAGAGAGAGAAACATCAATTCAAGAGAGACGCATCGACTGGCTGCCTCCTGCTCGAGCCCTGACCGGGGCCGAGGACCAAACCTGCAACCCAGGTACAAGCCTTTGACCAGAAATCGAACCCGAGACCCTTGAGTTGAAGGGCCAGAGCTCTAACCACGGAGCCAAACTGGCCAAGGCCCACAGAGCCAAACTGGCCAAGGCCCATCGTTCTTAAAAAGAGCTTTCAGAAAGAATCTGTGAAAATTAATAAAACACATACGATCTATTTGGGCAAGTTCAAGGTATAGAGGAACTTCAACTATCCAAATTAGTGATGATTTCTGATGACTTTCACTGTCATGGGGAAAACGGCTAAGGGACAGGAGGCCGCCTCCCCACACTGCTGGCACTGCCTTGGGAGCCCGAGGGCTTGGTCCTGGTCCTCTGGTGATTGCAGCTCCCCGGGTGGGTGTGGGAGGAAGGAGGACTTGGGTGGCATCAGTATTGTCAGCACCCAGTTGTCCACTTAATGCTGCACTGACTGATTCGCTAACCCTGAGGCCACCGTCAAAGACACTGCCTATTTTGGCCCACCCAGCACCCACTCTCTGCCTTCTGGTCACAGCACCTTGGTTCTTCTTTGGGGACTCACCCACCCTTTGTCCATGTGGTCAGGTGGGTGGGACTACAGGGTAGGCATGTGACTGAGATCTGACCAATCAACAGATCCCATCCACTTGGCCACAAAGATTGGGTCAGGGCAGAAGCCGACTGGATGAGATCAGAGTCAATCTCAGGCCTTTTGCTGGAACTTGAGAAAAAAGTCCTCTATTCACTGGAATTGCAGAGAAGGAAAATGTGCCACCGTGCCACCGTGCCACCGTGCCACCGTGCCACCATGAAACAAGATCCTGCCTCCACGTGGACTCGACACAGAAGAAAATGGAGTCAAGAGGCTGGGTTGACGTCCTGATTCGAGTCCCTGGATTGCGCTGAGCCTCTCCATGTATGTTAAGCTTGTAATAGCTAATCGTTTCTCTTTGATGTGAGTGTATTTGGGACTCTGTCACTTTCAACTGAAAAATCGGCTCGAGGCTAAGCAGTGTACAAGCGGAACATACAATTCACGTGATTCGAGGGCGGGCTGGTGCTGAGAGTTTAATCATTGCTTTCCCTTCTGACAACGCAACAAAATTCAAACTTTCATTATCCTTATTTTATAGATGAAAAACCCCAAACTGAGATTCAAGAGGTTCGGTGACCGGCCTACGGTCAGCAGCTACTAAGTGGCCAAGCCAGGGTTCAAACCCGCTCCGTCCGGCTGCGGGTCCGGGGGAGCCTGCCATCACTAGCCAGCACTGGCCCCGGGCCGGACCCTCGGTCTGCAGCGCCCTCGGTGTTCCCTGTGTCACGGCCGAGTCCTTCCTCTTCAGTGGTCTGGTTTCCTCAGCCGCACAACCTCTGCCGCAGGTCGCGTGGAGGGACGACG